TGTTGTGGAATATTGTTGAAAATGCACACCATACCGAAACCGATCTGCGCACCATGGGATGCATTCCCAATTCAACTGTATCACGCAGCGCCCTGTTGTGCATGCGCCTTCGTCCACCAAACCCGCGGCTCTCGAGGTTGCCCGACATGGAAGGGAATTCTGCACAGAGTGGAGGGGGAGTGCTGCCGTGAGCAACTCTGCGCAACAAGCCTAAGATAGACAAGTCCCGTCTCATACGAGCTGGGGCGAGGCTGTAATCACAAAGGACCCTTCCTTCGGAGACCCCGAACGCCTGCAACAACTCACCTTGCAAGCTGCCTAGCGGAGCTAAGGCAACATCGCTTGCATGACAGAGTGCTGTGGCAGCCCCGTCCACGAATGAGGCAACATGGTATTTTAACAACCTGAAGAGTTCAGCTATGCTGTAGAACTTGCTAGACCGAAGCAGCGCCTGGAGCCGCCAAGAGGCATCGCGAGCAATCTCTTGGACGGCACGATACATGAAGAGTACGCTGAGGATCATGAAATCGTCACCGTGGGGGCGCCCTCGCCAAGCATATGCATTATCTCTATGGTCGCCTCGAGAATCACTTGGTTGGCCACGCCCCACTCGTGAAGCGTGGACTAGCACGGGTGGCGCGCAGCGAGGTTAGAAACATTTGTGGCTACACCTTCTAACTCTTTCCAGCAATTGAGGTCGTCAGCGGAAACGCACTCCGTGGAACCGACCGAAGACACGGCAAGCTCGGCATTATCATAAACCGAACTCCACAACGGTGGCCCCAGAAACGTGTTTTGGAACACGATATCCACAAACAATAAAAGCTTGGGGAGGAATCCGTCCACGCTGACATGCGTCAGTCTCCCAGAAAGCCAAGACCGAATGACGTCCAGAAGGGGCGCGCACACTCTGGACGCACGGTCGGAACTGACCTTGTCGAGTGCCCCGGCCACGTCCGAGCAGTGCACCCCCACGTGCCGACCATTGCAGACAGCGGGGATCCAGCAGCACACCATGTATGCCAAAGCGTCACTGTATCCCCGGTTCGTATGATAAACAAATTGGTGGCCCCCGTATGCTTCATTGGTCTCCAAGAACGGAAGCAGCACGCTAGCGAAACAACGTTCGTCGACATTGTTGAGTTGAGGTGTGAGGCGAATTTAACGCTAATTCGACGGATTCAGACGCACCTTATTCTTGAACTGCGGGCACAGCCAATGAAGCTTCCACGATGCAGATCATTCGCCGCGATCCAAAATCAATCGCGCAAGCATGGCAGTGGGAGCAGCTAGCTGCTAGGCGCATTTCTTCATAATCCGACATGGTAGCCAATCAGGACCAGTGCCGCAGTCCCCCCGCAGCCTGCGCAGGATACGCGAAATCGAAAGGGAACGCATCGACATGAAGCTGGTCATCGAGAAGGCGTTGTTCACATGTGCGGAAGAGAACGCGTTGTCGACCTCGGGCGGGGGGCCAGATTAATCGCAGAACGCGAACAGGTTGGCCCTGGCACGAGCAGACGAAGCACGCGACCCCTTCATCGACTGCAGCGGGGGCGCACGGACTGACCTTTTGCCGGCGCGAAGAAGCGTCGAATCACGCAGCGCCCACCATTTCTTGCGCGATGGCCGCGCGTCCAGCGTGCGCTTTCCAGATCGTTGAACGCACTGGTCGAAATGGCGGCGGAGGCCATCAGAACCCTCGCCCCGTCGACGTTCAAATTGTGACGCCCCATGCGCGTCGACTTTTCTCCTGATCAGCTCCGCGAGCGGATCGGTGAACCGCGGGTGGCTGGACTTCTGGGCGACGCCGGTGAAAGTCGGGTTGATCTTTCGCCTACCAAGAATGAGACCTGCGAGCTTGGCTGCAGCGGCTGACGCAGTGCAGGATGCGAACGGCGATTCCCGAACCATGTTCTGCAACTCGGCACGAAGCTGGGGCAACTGCGCACGTCGAAACAACCGCAGCTCGCGGACGGTCGGCGCAGAACGCTGCGCGCGCATGGCCATAGACGCGTGGCCGCGCTCGATGATGGGCGGAAGGACTTCGCGCGCCAGGCCGGAGAACGCATCCGCCAAGACAAAGTCCAGCAAGTTGCCCCCTCGAGTCGGTCTCCCAATTTGTTCCCGTAGCCCCGCGCGGCGGCAGAGTGTCCAGCAGGGCCCAACCCTTCCATGGACGCACCGCGTAAAGAACAACGCAGCCGCTGACTGCGATGAACGGTCATGTCACCCGTGACGATGGCGCCGACGGCCTGCTGCTGGCAATCGCGCCACAGCGCGAACGGCGTCGACCTCTCCCTGCCCGGGACGCCGGCGCCCATGCGCCGACAAAGTTCGACCAATTCTGATTTGGGCGACGCGCCAAGATTGCCCGGCATCAAAAGAATCGCCGACATTGGCGACGCAATTCTTGATGGACTCGCTTGCGATCAGAATTATGCTGCCACCTTGTCTGCCATCGCGACGGTCGGGTCGCGATGCAACCGCGTCGTCGCGCAACAAAGTGCCCGTGATAGACTCCGACCAATTCGCTGCGACTGTGACGAGGTCAGGAAACAGCAAGAGTTTAAACCTACCCTGAAGTTCGGAATGGCGCAAGAGCCACGAGAGAAAACCGCGCGAGTTCACTGGCATTGTGGAAAACAGGCGGCTAGCGCGCCGCGGTTCTTGCGCCGAAAGGGGCGGGCGGGCGGAGGTGGCGCGCTGCCCAGTGGACGGGGCGACGAAGGGGGTGTCGGGATGGGGGGGCGGTGCAGCGACGGAATAAAAGGGTCGGGGCGAATGGGGCGCGCTGGCCAGCGGCTGCGGGGGCGCGGGGGGAGGGGGGGCGATCGGAGCGGGGGGGGCGGCGCCGCGCCGAGATGAAAGAGGCCGGGGCAGAGGGGGCGGCGCCGCGAAAGGTGCGGGGGCGGAGGGGGCGCGCTTGCTGGCGGGGCTGCGGGGGGGGCGCGGGCGGAGGGGGCGCGCTGGCGGGCGGGCGCTGAGGGGGCGGGGCGGGGCCGCGACGAGGTAAAGAGGTCGTGGTGGCGGCGTCGCTCTGGCTGGCGGGCGGTGCGCGCGGGGCGCGAGGGGGCGGTGCCGTGCTGACATAATAGGGCCAGGGCGGAGGCGGAGTTTTGGCTGGCGGGCGGGGGGGCGCAGATTGGGTGCGCGGGATGGGGAAGCCGGTGCCGCGCCGCAAAAGAGGGGTCGAGACGGGGGGGAGCGCGCTGGCTGGTGCGCTGGGCGGCGCGACGCAGGGGGCGCGCGCAGGATGGGGGGGCGGCGCCGCGCCGGAACAGAAATTTGGCGCGGGGGGTCGCGCTGGCTAGCGGGCGGGGCGATGTGGAGGGGGCGCGCGGGGCGCCGGAATAAGGGGGGCGGTGCCGCGTCGAAATGCGGGCGACGGGGCGGGGGGGGCGCCCTGGCTGGTGGATGGGGGCGCGCGGGGGGGGGCGCGGGCCAGAGGGGGCGCGCTGGCCGGTAGGTGGAAGGACGTGGAAGGCCCATCGTCAGGGGGGCGCGCGCGGGCTGGTGGGCGGGGGGTGGGGGGTGCGGAAGATGCGCGCGGGATGGGGCGGGCGGTGCCGTGCCGAAGTCCAGAAAACAGGGCGGATGGGGCGCTCTGGCTGGCGGGCGGGGGGGCGCGGCGGGGGCGCGCGGGTTGGGGGGGGGCGGTGCCGCGCAAAGAATGGGGCCGGGGCGGAGGGGGCGCGCTGGCTGGCAGATGGAGCGATTGAGGTGGCGCTCGGGGTAGGGGGGCGGTACCGTGCCGAGATACAGGTGTCGGGGCGGAGGGGGCGCGCTGGCTGGCGGGCGGGCTCGAAGACGCTCCAAGACCGCCCCAAGATGGCTCCAAGTGTCCAAAAGAGCTCCCCAAGGATGCCCCCAAGAGGCCAAAATGCTTCAACACCTTTGGGAACATCAATGTTTTTAGCTTTCTCGCTGTCGCGCTTCCGATGCCCATCCGAGGCGACAACATAGCTCCAAGATGGCCCAAGAGAGCCCCGAGACGGCCCCAAGAGCGCCCAAGAGCGCTCCAAGAGCGGCCCAAGAGCGCTCCAAGAGGCGATGTGGGGAGTTCCCGAGGGGGGACCGTAATTAAGGGACCCCCCTTTGTTGATCGATCTCCTCCAGCATGGCCCCAAAAGGCGTCTTGGACCCTCCTCTTGGGCCCTGCGCGCGGGCGGGCGGGGCGCCGCCCGCCCGCCCGCAAGGCCCAAGAGCCCACCACAACGCTTCAAGAGACCTCCAAGACGCCACCAGGAGGAAGAGCAAGAGAAGGAGGAGGAGGAGGAGGAGGAGGAGGAGGAGGAGGAGGGGGAAGAACAACTGCCGATGATCGGCGCTCTTCGTTCGAGTACCTGGTGTTGGATGGGCTGGTGAGGATGCGCGAAGCGTCAATAATTTGGGCCCTCCCCCCCTTGGACGGGGCGACAAGGGGATTGGGGGGATGTGGGGGAAGGGGGCGGGGCCCGGTTTCGGAGACCCCCCCCCAGACTTGTTCAAGCCCTGCGTTTGATACACGCTGTTTCATATCATGGCGCCTACAACCGATTTTTCCCCAAGCGCTTTTCAACTAGATGAGCTTGTCAAGTGCTTCAGGCATTCCCAGCTGCTTCGTGCTTCGCAGGGGGCACGGTGTTGAGCGTTGAGCGTCAGATGCGTGTAAGACCAGGTCATTACGCAGTGTAGACGTGCACGCTAGCAGGTAAAATGAGTTGATGTGATTGTGAAAGGCAAGCCTGTGCAACCAACGTGTCCACGATTATGCTGCTTCATGGCGTGCGACGCATGCTTAAACGATCGGGTCTTGGCAGCTGAGGTGACGCAGGAGGTGTGCCTACCCTCCAACGGGCTGCGTTGCGGCTGTTCCATGAGCGTCTGTGGAGGGGGGCGCCAGGGCGCACCGCGATTATTGGACCGCATGGGGGGAGCGTTGCTTGAGGACACGTTGCCTCTGAGTCTGCCCTCTATTGCGCAAGACTTTGAACTTTGTCAAAGGGGCGTGTCGGGAGGACCACTCCACGAAGATGACGGCATCTTGTGGCTCGATCGCGTACGTCAGCCCAGACGTGTTGTTGCGACGAGGCCGGGTCGAGATCTGTCTATTTCCTTCCGATCTTCCGACACACTTGTTCTACCTAGAGTTCTCGCCGACCTTGTGCGGAATCAGCAGCGACCCGCATCCCAAACCTTCCCGCCTTTCCTCCGCACACCCCTCGCGCGGTTGATAGTCCCACAGAATGTTCTGCGTACGGTCCCAAAGGGCGCGACCGCCTGGCGTCCTCTAGCCCGTTTCGGCACACCCCTCACACGTCTCGTTCTGAGATCGCGTGAGAACCCTACCCCTGCGGGTCCAGACAGCGCGGGGAGATAGGACGCTCTCGCTGGAGTTCACTTGGCTGCAGACATCCTTCAATTTCTGAACCCCAGCCCGTTTTTCCAGTATTCTGCCTTGCAGGGGTAGAGCTCACACGGGGCTGCCTACTCGCGCCCCTTAGGGAGCCCAACTTGCGGCCTCAGTGGGCCCAGTGGGCGTGACCGCATGGCGTCCCCGAGCCAGTTCCGCCACACCCCATCACACGGTTCGTGACCCTTAGGGAGCACTACGGTCTCAGGCGGCGCGATCACATGGCGTCCGCGAGTTAGTTTTGGCATACCTCTCACACGGCTCGTGCCCCTTAGGGAGCTCAACATGCGGACTCAATGGTTTTGGCCGCATGGCGTCCTTGAGCCCATTTTGGCATGCAACTCAAACGCGGCGTGCCCTTTGTGGGAGATCCACCTACTGCCTCAGTGGGCGCGACCGCATGGCGTCGCCGAACACATGTCGGCACACCCCACACGCTTCGTGGCCTCATGAGGAGCCCCACCGAATGCCCTAATGGCAGGGTTCGCGTGGCGCCTTCGCACATTTCATTGTCTCATAAGGGCCTGGGTCTGCATGTCGCCACCCCGTGGCAGGGTCTGCATGTCGCCACCCCGTGGGCTCATAGAGATCTCCACGGAGGGCCCTGGTGGCAGGATCCGCATGGCGACTCATGTCAACTTCAGCATGCCCCTCTCACGTTTCGTGGACCCAGTCGGGAGCTCCACCGAAGGCCCCAATGGCAGGGTCCGCATGGCGCCATCCCGCCCATCTCGCCACACACCTCACACGTTCCGTGGCCCCCATAAGGGGTTCCATTGAGGGCCCCAGTGGCAGGGTCCGCGTGGCGCCACTTCGCCCGTTTCGCCACCCCCCCTCACACGTCTCGTGGCCCCAATACGGAGTTCCATTGTGGGCCCCAGTGGCAGGGTCCGCGTGGCGCCACTTGTCAACTTCGGCACACCCCTCACACCTTTCGTGGACCCACTAGGAAGCTCCACCGAAGGCCCCCATGGCAGGGTTCGCGTGGCGCCACCCCGTCCATTTCACCACCCCCCTCACACGTTTCGCGGTCCCAATACGAAGTTTCATTGACAGTTTCAGAGGCAGGGTCCGCATGGCGCCACTTGCCAACTTCGGCTCGTCCCTCACACGTGTCGTGAACCCAAGAAGGAGCTCCACCGAAGGCCCCATTGACAGGGTCAGCAAGGCGCCACCTTGCATTTCGCGCTGAAACCCTCACACGTTTCGTGGCCTCGGTACGGAGCCCCACCGAAGGCCCCAATAGCTTGGCCCACGTGGCGCCACATTGCCCATTTCGCCACACACCTCACACGTGCTGTGCCCCCCCCAATAGGGAGTTCCATTGAGGGCCCCAGTGAAAAGGGTTCGCATCGCGTCACTTGTCAATTTCGGCACGCCCCTTACACGTTTTGTGTATCTAATTGGGAGCTCCACCGAAAGCCCCAATGGCAGGGTCCGCATAGCGCCACCCCGCCCATCTCGCCACACACCTCACACGTTCCGTGGCCCCCAGAAGGGGTTCCATTGAGGGCCCCAGTGGCAGGGTCCGCGTGGCGCCACTTGTCAACGTCACCATTTGTCTCACACGTTTCGTGTACCCAACACGGAGCTCCACCGAAGGGTCCAATGGCAGGGCCCGTATGGTGCCACCCCGCCCATGTCGCCACATCTCTCACACGTTTCGTGGCCCCCATGAGGAATTCCACGGGGGCCCAAAGATAGGCTCCACACGGCGCCACGTGTCAATTGCAGCACGCACCACCCGTTCCGTGGACCAAACAGGGAGTTCCACCGAAGGCCCCAATGGCAGAGTCCGCATGGCGTCATCCCGCCCACTTTGCCGCACCTATCAAACGTGTCGTGGCCCCAGTGGCAGGGTCCGCATGGCGCCATTTGTCAAATTCGGCGCACACATCTCACACGTTTCGTGTATCCAATTTGGAGCTCCACCGAAAGTTCAAATGGCAGTCCGCATGGCGCCACCGCGCCCATGTCGCCACACACCCTCACACGTCTCGTGGCCCCCACAAGAAGTTCCACTGTTGGCCCCAGTGGCAGGGTCCGCATGGCGCCATTTGTCAACTTCTACTCTTCCCTCACACGCATAGTGGACCCAATAGTAAGCTCCACCGAAGGCCCCCATGGCAGGGTTCGCGTGGTTCCACCCCGTCCGTTTCGCCACCACCCCTCACGCGTCTCGTGGCCCCCGTAGGAGTTCCACCGAGGTCCTCAGTGGCAGGGTTCGCGTGGCACTACCCCGCCCACTCACACGCGTCGTGAACCCAAAAGGAAGCTCCACCCACAGCGTCAGGGCGTTTCGCTCGCTTGCTGCCCCATCCTATTCTGGCACACCCCTCACAAGCTTCGTGGCCCTGTAGGGAGCTCTTCCGAAGTCCCAAGTGGTATTGTTCGCATGTCGCTGCCAGCGCGTTCTGGCACACCGATCACACGCTTGTTGGCCCCATAGGCAGTTCCATCGTCTCTCTACCTTACTTCGTAGCTCGCCCCTTTCTTCGGTCGCATCAGTCCCGCGCTACTCGCAGCTGCTTGTCATTGGGTCCTTCGCCTGATCGGTTCTAAGACACGAGTTGTGGTTTAACGTTTTCTTATTTTCTCAAGGCTTCGATGCCTGTTGCCCACGTCATTTGTAGCTGTAAGCTGCGCCCCCATCCAAAACAGGCCCCTCGTTCTTCCTGACTGGCCCACCACGGTATCAGCATCAGATCCTGGACATGTCGTGTTCGCGTATCACTAACATCTTCATCACCATCACCATTCACATCCATCGATTACAGGGCCACTGGATGGCGAAAACGCACCGCTTAAAGAACTGGCGATCCTTTGTAGTCGGCATACTGATATTGATTCGGGGGGCCTTGATTTTGATTGGCATCTGCAAAGTGAAGCACGCGGGGGACACTCACTCTAATCCGCGCCCGGGGACCCCCCTCCATGGCGCGCGGAGCACGCCGGGGGCGGCACCGGAGGCGCCCCCAGGGGGCCCCGATCTGAGAAAACCGCGCGGACCTCCCAGTTGTTATGTTTATGCCACTGGGTATGCCGTCTATCCTCCGCTCTGCCTCGCAAGCCTGGGGCGTTGGCCGGAACCGGCGACCCGGAACACCAGCAACCGCAGTAAAGCCCAGGAGCCTTGGACCCGCGCCGCATACCGAGATCGGCTGCGAGGAGGAGGAGGAGGAGGAGGAGGAGGAGGAGGAGGAGGAGAAGGAGTTGTCACACCGAATTCCCAGAAACGGGAATTTGCGGACCGGGCCGCCTGTTGATTTTGGCGGTGCGTGTCCGCCAGTTGGCACGCCTCCAGCAGCGCCGGGGCCACGAAGTGCGGGCACCGATCGCGGAAGCCCTCGGCCCCCACCGGTCTGCGGCTCCCCATGCCGAGTCTCGGCTGGATGGCGATGGGGGGATCAGGACATGGGGGGATGAGTATCCGGTACCGTTTTGTTGGGGTACAGTTTGTACCTTCTCTGCGGGTTGCAAGGACAAATTGTACCTTCTCCCCCCCCGTTAACATCCTCGCACATGTCGCGGACGTTGTCAACAGTACAATTTGTACCTTGTCTTCGTGGCGTCGGTACAAATTGTACCTTCTCCGTGGGGCGTAGGTACAATTTGTACCTCGGTTGCGCCTCTCTCCCCATCTGGACTTATCCCCCCATTTGCATCCCGCCAAGAGTCGGCTCGCGACGGCCCCGGGGGCCCTGGGGCCCGAGGCCCGCGCGTCGCCGGCAGAAGAGCCGATCGGCCGCCCACTGTCCGCCCGTTTCCCCCACGAGGTCGGGCGGCGGCGATCGAAGGGGGGGAGCGAGAAGGAGGAGGCCTTCTCAAAAGGTTCGGAAGTCCCTTATCCTTCCGAGAAGCGTTCCAAGCCTTCCCAGAGACAGCAAACACCTCTCAGAAGGCGAGAGGGCTCCTGAGAAGTCCCGCCCCCTTCTGAGATGGCCTTCTCCTTCTCACTTCCCCCCCTCGCTCGCCGCCGGTTGGCTGACGGGCTGCAGCCCAAGACTCGGGAGTCCGCCCTGGCGGGTCGCGGGGATTCCGCAGACCCCTTCACGAGGCGCAGCTGATCTGGGGGCGGGCCTCGATGCCCCTGGAGCACCAGAAAGCAGTCGTGTGCAGAAGCACGGAGGGCATGCGGGGGTAGCTCAGCGTTGTAGCAGCGGCTCGGGCCGTGACGACGCCTCTTGCCCGCACAGGCTATACCGACCAGTGCGACCTTTGGAGCCTGGGCGTCATACTGTGGATGCTGCTCGCGGGGTACCCGCCCTTCCACGGCTCGCGGGCGGGCAGAGCAGAGCACGCGAGGGGCGCGCGAGGATGGGAGACGGCGGCTGCGGCGACGGCGCCCACGACGGAGACGGCGACGACGACGGCGACGGCGACGAAGGGGAGGACGGGGAGGACCAGGAGACCGAGGACGAGGAGAACGAGGGAGGGGGTTCGGAGGGGGGAGGGGGCATGGAGAAGGGCGACAAGAACGAGGATGAGAGAACTAGGACGGGAGGACGATGACAGGCTGTGGACCCCGAGGTCTGTTCTTTTCTTCCTGAGTTGCCTCGATTTTCGTTGGGGTTGATCCGTATTGCCTCACTCTGTGCTCCATGCCTCCGCGTGCAGCTATTTG